CATTGGTGAATGCCACAAATTCTCCTAAATCACTCGTACGCACAACTTAAGAACAAATCTGTGCGTACGAACGGTTCTTGCATGAGGCCCATTGAGCTGTAATATGGTGTGGCGKGATCCCCGATCACCAATATATTACAGTCAAAACTTGTTTAAAGTGGCGGCCACATGGCAGTATCCATCAAAGGTTCTCAAGGAACTTTCCTAGTTGCTCCATGTAATTCGTACATTACAGACTCACCTCTAGATGTCACCCAATTTTGGTAAATGGTAAATGGACTGTACTTATTGCCTTTCTATCCATCCAGGACGCTCAAAGCGCTTTACACTAACAGACATTCACCTATTCACACACACATTCACACACTGATGAARGTAAACTACACTGTAGCCACAGCTGCCCTGGGGYACACTGACAGAGGCGAGGCTGCCATACATCGGCGCCACCGGACCCTCTGACCAACATCAGTAGACAAGGCGGGTAAGGTGTGTTGCCCAAGGACACAATGACTGAGTCAACTGGACGGGGATCGAACCGGCGACCTTCCAGTTCCAGGACGACTCCCCTAACCATTCTACCACAGCCACCCCGGTTAATTTTCATTAACTGGTTCTTCAAAGGAGAACTGTTTTACACAATTGTTGGTTTACATTAATTCTGTGGTTTTTTTAAACTGATAGGTTCTCTCTACATCAGACAGCACACCTGTTTGACAGATAAATACGGTTTATTGCCACATCTCCAGCCCACTTGTCAATCATTTGTGGGGTGGCACCTGGGGAGGGGGGCAACTTAGGTGCCGGGGAGCCTACCCCTCTAGCTCCGCCCCTGCCAGGAATGCTGGTAACAAATATCTCGGACATGAACGCACAAACTTTCACTTTGATTGAAAAACAAAATTAATTGCTACCTCAATTTTATCCTTTTAAATATGAGCAGGTGTGTTTTAGGTGTTTTTTTTTAAAAGCCAATGAAAAGCAACAAAGTGTGTTTGTGGGTTTGGCTCTTGTTCTTTTTGCCGTGTTCCCACAAACCTTTTTCGTATTTCCACTCTGTTCTGTTAAAAAGGTGGCAGAGGTTTCCTCCCTTTTCTTTTTTCTATTTTTTTTTTTCTCATGCCAAAAGCTCATTCAAGCTTTACACAGGAGATCGTGGTCATGGTTTGGCTTTAAATGACAAGCTCTACACATATGTCCAGAAAGAAAAGGCTTAATCTTGATCCAGTGGTCTATAATGGCCTCAACAATATCATAAACACAGGATGTTCGGCTACAAATCATCTTTGGCGGGAAGTTGAGGCCAGTTTTCCCAGTATTACCCAGCAGGATATGAGGCGTGCCATTCACTTTACATAAGTTACAGTAAGCTTGAAATAAGGAGGGTAATGTTATTAGATTTCTGGAACAGACAACTCTTCTATCATGGCTGTAAAAAGCTTGTTATACATATTTCTTAGATTTATCCTCTTCCTTCAGGAAGTCATAATGAAACAGATGATTCACAAAACCCCAATGAGCACAAAATGTCTTGAGTACAGCAAGTTTTCCTTAAATATCATTTTCTACATGGGTGGAATAACCAAAAAAAATTCCAAAGTTTAGATTCAGCAGTGTTTTTATTGTGTGTGTTTGGTGGATTGCAGTTAGTGTTTGCCAACCTTGTTTTAACAATTGTTGAAGTATTTATTGCCAAGGGCGTTAAAGAAATACTGGGGCACAGCACTTTATAAAACAGCTTGATTTTCCATGTATACATTGTAAGTACCTCCGTATGTACCCTGTAATTACCTTGTGAATATGATGTAATTGCACTTTATGTACCTCATAAGTACCTTCATATATACCTTCTTAATACCCTGTAATTGCTTTGTTTAACCCCATAAGTACTTTAATGTACCCCAAAGAGTATCCAGTGTGAAACTCAATACGTACCCAGAAAATACAGTATTAGAAATTCTACCTTTTTTGCCAAGCAACCCTTAGTAACCTATAGTACCTTGTGATTACCTCACAAGTACGTTGTTTTTACAAGTGTGCTTACCTTGGATGTGTCCCACTAAGTATTGTGGAAGTGCTCAATACAGTGTACCCTGTCATTACTCCTTGTAAGTGCCCTGTTTGTACCACTGGAAGTACTCTGAAAAGACCTTGTATGTACTGCAAACAGTACACTAAAAGTACCTTGTATGTGTTGTTTGATTTAGATTTTTGGTCCATAAATAAAGTATTTTAATATATCCTGATGCATCTCAGTAATCCAGGTAAAAAATCAAAAGGAAAAAAATTGTATAGGTCCTCTGGACGGGTTCTTCTTTAATTATATGTATATATATAT